GAACTGCTATAATTTGTTTGACCAACCTTACTGGTAGTTTTTAATTTTTTGAGATTTTAAAGTTTTGTTCCTATGTGGTTGTACATATGTTTATTTCCTTAGGTTAAATATCTAGGCATAAAATTCCTAGGTTCAGGTATATGTACATGATATAATCTTTGCCTTCTAGAAATCTTCTACCACTTCACACTTTTATTAGCAAAACATACAATTGGTTACTTTATCATACACTCGACAATACTGTATATATTCCTTCTTTATTTTTACCAACTTGTTGGGTAAAAAATGATTGTTCTATGATATGTATTTGCTTTTCTTTGATTACTAATTATTCCAGTTGTTTTCTCCTTAGCATATTTTGGACTTCTAGGAACACTGTTCATTTGCTATGCAGAATGCTTTTTTCCAAGATGGACTAGAGACTTAAATGTTAGACCTAAAACCATAAAAACCCTAGAAGAAAACCTAGGTAATACGATTCAGGACATAGGCATGGGCAAGGACTTCATGTCTAAAACACCAAAAGCAATGGCAACAAAAGCCAACATTGACAAATGGGATCTAATTAAACTAAAGAGCTTCTGCACAGCAAAAGAAACTACCATCAGAGTGAACAGGTAACCTACAGAATGGGAGAAAATTTTTGCAATCTACTTATCTGACAAAGGGCTAATATCCAGAACCTATAAAGAACTCAGTCAAATTTACAAGAAAAAAACTAACAACCCCATCAAAAAGTGGGCAAAGGATATGAACAGACACTTCTCAAAAGAAGACATTCATACAGCCAACAGACACATGAAAAAATGCTCATCATCACTGGCCATCAGAGAAATGCAAATCAAAACCACAATGAGATACCATCTCTCACCAGTTAGAATGGCGATCATTAAAAAGTCAGGAAACAACAGGTGCTGGAGAGGATGTGGAGAAATAGGAACACTTTTACACTGTTGGTGGGACTGTAAACTAGTTCAACCATTGTGGAAAACAGTGTGGCGATTCCTCAAGGATCTAGAACTAGAAATACCATTTGACCCAACCATACCATTACTGGGTGTATACCCAAAGGATTATAAGTCATGCTGCAATAAAGATACATCCACACGTATGTTTATTGTGGCACTATTCACAATAGCAAAGACTTGGAATCAACCCAAAAGTCCATCAGTGACAGACTGGATTAAGAAAATGTGGCACATATACACCATGGAATACTATGCAGCCATAAAAAAGGATGAGTTCATGTCCTTTGTAGGGACATGGATGCAGCTGGAAACCATCATTCTCAGCAAACTATCGCAAGAACAGAAAACCAAATACCGCATGTTCTCGCTCATAGGTGGGAATTGAACAATGAGATCACTTGGACACAGGAAGGGGAGCATCACACATCAGGTCCTATTGTGAGGAGGGGGTAGGAGGGAGGGATAGCATTAGGAGATATACCTAATGTAAATGACGAGTTAATGGGTGCAGCACACCAACAAAGCACATGTATACATATGTAACAAACCTGCACGTTGTGCACATGTACCCTAGAACTTAAAGTATAATAAAAACAAAAAAGAATGCTTTTTTCTTCACATGTGTAGATTAGAGGAATGCCTGATTATTGCTTCCCACTGGTTTCCCTTCCCTGATTTCCAGAGTTCAAATTATAGTAGATCTCATTTTATCTTTCTATGGACATTTAAAAGGGAACTTATGATGGAGAGATGTCTCAGGACGGGTTCCCTGAGCAAAGATGCTAAGACAGAGTATGATTTAGAAATGCTTTAGTGGCTTATCCCTCTGCTAAGGAAGAGAAGGAAGCGGGATTGTGGAGAAGACAAAGGCAAATGCAATGCTGATGGGACAAAGCTTTGCCAACCCTTCATGGAGTTCTGGAGCCAATGTTGCCCAACACAGCTGACGGTCTTTGGGCCAGAAGGTCCTGGCCCTTCCGCTCTTACCTCACTGAGTCATTGGATGGGTAGAGTTGCCGGATTTAGCAAATTAAAATACAGGATGCCCAGTTCAATTTTTCAAATAAACAGTGAATATTTTAAAAATAGGAGTATGTCTCAAATATTGCCTGCAGTGTACTTACCATAAAAAATTAAACTATCTATTGTTTATCTGGAAGCCAAATTGAACTGGGTGTTTTGTGCTTCATCTGGCCACCTTAGATGTGGGCTGCCTGAGAAATGTGTGATCTTAGACAGGCGGCCCAGGTGCGGCAGGTTCTGAAGGAGCTGACAGCTGGGACAGGCTGGCTGACCACATGCCCCATGTGTGCACAGGAAGTCCTCTTTGGTGGCAGATATGGGTGATTAATTTCCACGTTCGGGGGAGTTAAACACAGGATTCCAGTTCTGAGCTCGAACTGGACATTCCAGGGGAACAGCTTCAATTAATCAGGAGTTAATTCTATTATCTATGAACTCTGTGACTTTTCTCATTCTTGAGTTCTTCCATCAGAACCCTCTCAAAGTTTTTTTAAATCAAAGCTCAAATTGAGAAAAGTCAATGAGTTCATAGACAATAGAAGAGAGGAAGTAGTGGGTGAGTATATACTATTTTTAAAAGTTGGCTTTGGGAAAAGCTTTTCTAAGGAAAACGGTAAAAATGCTAACAAAGAAAAGAGTAGGGAAACTTGTGATGTTTATAGCAGAAGGAGAATGGATTGAAGATATTGGGCTAAAAGGTAGAGTAACTGTTGAATCAAATTCCAAAACAAAGTGACCAATTTTGCCAATAAGAAACAAGCCTTCTTCTGAAAAAGCAGGGGAGGAAAATAAAAATCATGAATTGGAGTGGAAGGCAATTGTGGGAACTTAATTTGTGTGAACTCTATCTTTTTAGGAAAAAAAAAAAGCAAGGAGTCTGCTGAGACTGAAAATAAATGATAGGGTTTGAGGTTTGGGAGACTTGCAAACAGCTTCACCATCGTGAGCATAATTTGGAACACAGGATTTTGGAGAAAGGGTTCAGCCTCAATATCTCCATCTTCTTCCTATGCCACTGAACGTGGATGACATACGACGTATAAGACATGGTTTCTCTTTTTAAGGAGTCTATATTGTAGTTGGAGAGAGAATTTACACATGAAAAGAAATATCCATCTAGGAAATATATAAGCTCAATGCAATTCTGTGGTCTAGTCAAAATCTATTATAGTTCAGAAGGTCAAGGATTGCTGTGAGCTGGAGAATCTGAGAAGAATTCACCAACAAGGGGAAACTTTGACGTTGAGTATTGGGTAGGAGGCAGACATTGCAGACAAAGTGGGACAAGCACTCCAGGCAGGAACATTGTCCTTTTGAGAAATAGCAGTTTGGCTGGTGTCTTTTAGGTCGTATCTATTCCTTGGATGAACACTGTCACAGTTGGCACTGTCCATTTCCTTCATGTGCTAAGCCTACAAGAGCCCTGAGTCATTGTGGGATCATTGGTTGGAAATTTTACTGCAGTCTAGTGACTCTTGAATGAGAGTTAGAAAACATGGCCCCCTATTCCTCCATTTTCATAAGAGTGGATGACATGTAAACTGTTTCTGAAAAGGGGACAATGGGAGGATCAGATGGCATGTGGTCTGTTGGCTGACAGTGCTCATTGGCTGCAACAATGGAACAGCAATGAAAAGAAGTCTTCAAGAGGTTCCTGGACTGCCTGGAGACTTTGAGTGCACTGTTACAGAACTTGTTTTAGCATTCATGAATAGCAAATGAGAGCAAAGAAGTAATTTAACTTAATGAGCTGAGAAAGCTTTGCAAGACTCCTTGAGTACTTCCCAGCCTATGTGCTACCCTAACTGCCTATGGAAAGTAGAAGAGATTTGATGCTTTTCCTCTCTCTCTCTCTCTCTTTTTTGGTGGTGATGGTAGGGTTTAACTCATTACTAATTCTATTTTCGTTTCTTATAAGGAACTTAAGATAGATCTTGCCCTAATACTGCCAGACTAATCTTCCTTAATTACATCTTTTATTGCATTGTTTTCCTGCTTAAAAACCTCCAAAGGCTCCCTATCTCCTACTATAAATTCTTATTGATTTACAAAACTGCCATAATATCTGTGTTTTTTTTTTTTCCAAATTCCAAATGTATTCTTTTCTAAGCTCTAAACTTACCCAGTTCCCTTGACAAACTGCCCTAAATAGAGGTGTTATTTTAACAATGGAGAACATTCTCAAGGCATGTACACTTAATTATTATTTTGTCATGTTTTCACAAGGGACAACCTTATAACTTAGATTAGATCTTATCTCAGTGATATAACTGTGGTTATATTTTCATGATCTCATGAATTCCCTCCTACCTTCCCAAGGATATTTCCTATTGGCTCTCTTGCTTATCAGCTGGAATATTTTCCAATAAATGGAGGTTCTCTTGTGGATATCTAGTAAAACCTCTGTTTTCAGTAGGAGATTTGATCAGCCTTTGCAAAAACTAAACAGCTTGTGTTTTGTCAACATCAATTCCCAGTTCAGATTAGAATCATTAGTGGCAGAGCAAGTGCTATTTGGCTGAGAAGGGATAATTAAAGCAGCAAACAGAGATCTGTGTAATTCTGCCCATGTTTTGCATAGATAATGGAATGAAGACATGTCACAAGGACTTCTGAAATAGATGATAACATGATTTCAAAGATAACATGATTTCAAAGATATGTCCCCACCCGGCATTCAGAAACCAAGTTAAATTACCAAAGGGACATAAAGATTAGGAAAACACAGCATCCGCACTGAAAATGAGGAAAAGGTTTCATTAACATGTTACAAAGTTGGAAGAAGTTTTGAGACAGCACAGAAGAAGTGACAAAAATAAAGACATAATTTCTCTTATTTAGAAAATTCCTCCCTTCCCCTTTCCTCTCCTCTCCTCCATTAGAAAATGTGGGTATTGGCAGTGGTGAGCTGGTAAACTGGTTTTCTGGAAAACTAAAGCCTGAATTTGGGGCATTTGGTGTGTGGTGTAAATGCACCTGCCTTGGCCAATTTCAAGCTTCCAATGCAGAATTAGGACTGGCCACACAGATTCAACTTTTCAGAGCCTACCTTAGTTGGCTCATCACACTGTTGAGTATTATGGGAAGTCAGTGTAAATGGGGGCTTGGAATAAGCCCCTAAATTGGTTATGTGGGTGTGAGGGTGTGTGGCAGGGATTGGAGGCCGTGAAGAGTTGGATGCTGGCTCCATGGATCCTTTTAACTGCCGGGATCCATAACTCCCAGGAGCATCAGTGCTGGGAGGTACAGGGACAAGTCAACAGGAGAAAACAGCTAGGGTGGACCTATTTTCTCTCTGACACAGACTCTCAGCTGCAAGACTCTTTCTCTGTAAGGCAGGTAGGTGGAATGTGGAAAGACCAGGTAGAAGAAACAACTAGATTTAGAAAGATGGCCAAAGTATGAAGATGCTTTTATGGGCTAAATGTTTGTGCCCAACCTCTCAAATTTACATGTTGAAGCCCTAAACCCCCATTGTGACGTCATTTGGAGGTGGGCCTTTGAGAGACAATTAGGCTCACATGAAGCCATGAGGGTGAGCCTTCTCATAAGTGTCCTTATGAGAAGAGGAAGAGACAGCAGCACTTCCTGTTTCTGCCATGTGAGAGAAAGCAAGAAGGCTGCTGTCTGCAAGTCAGGAAGAGGGCCCTTCCCAAGAACCCAACCAGCTGGCACCTGTACTTCCAGCCTCCAGAATGCAGAGAATAAATAAATGTTGTTAAAGGTATGCAGTCTATGATATTTTTGTTATAGCAGCCTAAGAAGACTAAGACAGACACTTGTAAAATAGAAAGCACATAATACTGTGGTGAAGATGTGCCCAGATTTACTGCTTGTCACATTGAGAATACATATAATCTATATGTGTTCTCTAATTAATCTAAACTTCTGATTAGAAGACAGAATTCTCAGATTGGGTAACAAGGCAAATTTCAACTATGTACTGTTCACAGGAAAGACACCTAAAACAAAATGGCGCAGAACAGCTAAAAATAATGAGATGGGAAATGGTATCTCAGAAAAATGCAACAAAAATAAACCCAGAGTTTAATACGAATATCACACAAAACGAAATTTAAGACTAAAAGCATTAAATGGGAAAAAAGATGATTTGGTATTAATGAAAAATTCAAAACAAGAAAAATTAAGTCTGGACAGGAGTCCTAAACTTTATGTAGCAAAAATACATAATATTGAGAGATATAAAACTTTATTATTTAAAAGATGCAAAGATGTTGATACAATCTTGGTATTATACCTTAACAAAACGTGACTTTCAGAATTTAGTCAATCAGACTAAAAAAGGCTGCTATATACAGAGAAATAGAATAGTTAATTATTACTTTTGAATTAGTAGTTACATATTTTTAGATAGATTTGATACCCCCAAAAGAATATTACTTTTTAAAGATGTCCAGTGAGGCATTGTACCATTAATTCAACACGTATTTATTCAGCATCTACCAAATGCCTGGCCTGGGTAGGGGATGAAGTTTGAACAGGCCAGTCACAGACCTGCCGCATGGAGCCTTGTACCGGGCACTGTTCTAGAAGCAGGGGATGCACCAGGGGACAAAATAGACAGAGGTCCCTGCTCTCACGGGCTTTATTCCAGGGGGAGGACTCAGACGATAGTGAAGACGCACAGAATGTGCCAGGGGAAGGATAACAAAGCAGAGTTAGAGAGTGATGGGAAAGGATGCTATTTTAGAAAGGGGCTAAAGGGAAAGCCTCTCTGATCAGGTGGAATTTGGGCAGGGAGCTGAAGAAAGTGAGGGCACCAGACATAAAGATGGAGGACGTGAGCTCCGGGCAGAGAGCACAGCACGCACAGAGGCCCTTTGTCCTTTGGGTCCGTTTTTCTCCTTGACTTTTCTTGAATTTCGGAAATCTAATATTTTATTCATTGTCAGTCTTTCTCATGTAAGCCTCAAGCCTATGATTTTTTGGGTCTTTGAATTGTTGTGATGATTTTCTCTACAAGTTTTAAATTTGTTTTTAATGTCCATATAGTTGATAGCTGCAGGTTTCATGTACTTATTGGCCCAAGACTAATTTTACGGAAGCATTTACAAATTTTCCTCCGTGTGTTCCGGACACATTACCCCCGCAAAATAGGGCACTTTGGCCTATTGAATATATCAAGCTGAAGGAATTTGAAATAATGAGAGAATCAGAAAAGTTTCACTGACCTTCCCACATCATCCTCCCCGGAAGCAGGTCGTACAACCTGGGAAGGATTTTCTGACCTTCACCTGAATCAGGTCACAAAACCCTCACGTGAGCGGTGCCTTCCCTATACCTCTGAATGGGTGAGCAACCTTATCTCTGAGGAGGACACAGGGTCACAGAGAAGAATCTGAACAAACAGGCCCTGCTAAGTTCCCTCAGTTTAATACCATTAGATCACACCCTTTCTGCTTTATTACATTTCCCCTCCACTCTCAAGTCTTCATCAAAACTTGCATAAAACTGCTCAAGTGTACCTGTTTCGTTGGATCTTCATTTTCTTGTGAAGGCTCCTATGTCATGTAAAATCTATATTAAATATCTTTTTTATGCTTCTCTCTGTTAATCTGTCTTTTGTTATAGGGTCCTCGATCATGATGGGTAGAGCAATATCTTTCCTCCTCTACAGTGGCTTCATATATATATTTTGACTACCCTTTTATTATGTTATAATTTCTTTTTGGTTTAATCCAGAGAATGTAGCGTGAACAACTTCTTCTTTTTAAAGTCCATCTAAATTTTCCTTGTGGCCCAGTATATGATAAAACACAGTTCAATGTCTCTACACGACTGAACTCCCTGGGCACCAGCCCATGTATTCTACAGGTGGATATAATGGGATGGTGACCACTGGGGCTGTGAGACTTGGTGGCCCCACTGGTTACTTTACTTTGCTACTTAAAGCACACAATGGCGGCCGGGCGCCGTGGCTCACGCCTGTAATCCCAGCACTTTGGGAGGCCGAGACAGGCGGATCACGAGGTCAGGAGATCGAGACCCTCCTGGCTAATACCGTGAAATTCCGTCTCTACTAAAAATACAAAAAATTAGCTGGGTGTGGTGGCGGGTGCCTGTAGTCCCAGCTACTCGGGAGGCTGAGGCAGGAGAATGGCGTGAACCCGGGAGGTGGAGCTTGCAGTGAGTGAGTCGAGATCGTGGCACTGCACTCCAGCCTGGACGACAGAGCGAGACTCCGTCTCAAAAAAAAAAAAAAAAAAAAAAGAAAGAAACACACACACACACACAATGACTTCCCACTGCTCACAGGACACAGTGCACAGTCAGGAAGGTTTTCAGGATCGTGAACAACCCAGTTTCTTCCCATCTGTTCAGCCTCACTCTTTACCTCATTTCTTCTCTTGCTGTGGTAAAGAAGTATATTGAACTTTCATTTGCTTGAAACTGCTCTTTCCCTCTAATTTGGGGACCATAAATTATGCTATTATAGAATGTTAATTTTTCTCCCGCTCATTGAATTAGTCAGGGTTCTTTAGAGCAATAGAACCAATAGGGTTGTGTATGTGCATGTGTGTGTGTGTGTGTGTGCATGTGTATACATATAAACAGATTTATAAAAAATTGGGTCATATGATCATAGATGCTGAGAAGTCCCAAAATCTGTAGTTGGCAAGGTAGAGACCCAGGAAAGCTGATGTTGTAGTTGTAGGACCATTCTGAAGACCTGAGAACCAGGAGAACCACAGTTTCAGTTCAAATTGAAAGACAGGATAAGAGTGATATCCCAGTTCAAGCAGCCAGGCAAGAATTCCCTCTTACTCAGTCTTTTTGTTCTATTCAGGTCGTCAATGGATTGGATGAGGCACATCCATGTGAGAAAGGGCAACCTGCTTTACTCAGTCTATGGATGCAAATGTTCATCTCATCCAGAAACACCTTCACAGATACAGCCAGAATAATGTTTGACCAAATGTCTGGGCACCCCATGGCCTGGTCAAGTTGACACATAAAATTAACCATCACACAGATATAACTTTTCTTCAGGGTCTCAGAATAAACGTTGCTTTCTCCCAGAAGCCCTCCTCACCTCACTTGTGTGACCACATTAGGGGATCCTGCCATGTGCCCCTCTAGCATCCTGCTTATACTGTATCCTGGCACTTTTGTGCATTACTTCCAGTTGCTTATTTAATTTATTAGACCATGCCCTCACTTTCTTCAAGTTTCTGCTCAAATGTCACCCAGTCAGAGAGGCCTTCCTGAACGCCATTTCTAAAATAGCACCCTACCCTGACACTCTTTGTCTTTGCTTCCTTATCCTTCACCTGACATATTCAAGTGACTTTATTATTATCTTTGTCCTCCCACTAGAATATCAGCTCCATGAGAGCAGGACATTTTTTCTATTTTGTTGACTGCTGCATCCATTACTTCTACAAGTGTGCCTCGTATATCATTAGCATCCAATTAACTTTTGCTTAATAAAATCCAGGAATAAATAAACATGGCTGGCTAGGCACGGTGGTTCATGCCTATAATCCCAGCACTCTGGGAGGCCGAGGCGGGTGGATCACCTGAGGTCAGGAGTTCGTGACCAGCCTGGCCAACATGGTGAAACCCCATCCCTACTAAAAATACAAAAAAATTAGCTGAGCGTGGTGGCAGGCATCTGCAATCCCAGCCACTTGGGAGGCTGAGGCAGGAGAATCGCTTGAACCCGGGAAGCGGAGGTTGTAGTGAGCTAAGATTGTGCCACTGCACTCCAGCCTGGGCTACAGAGTGAGACTCTATCTCAAATAAAACAAAACAGAACAAAACAATACACAAAGCAAAACAAAACAAAAACGAAAACAAAATTAAGTAAAACTCATATAGGGATGTAAAAGTGGTTTAATACTAGAAAATTTGTAGAACATTCTAGAGATATTGAACGTCTATTAATTTAATTACTATGTAACAGATTTTTAAAACAATGATCTTGATAGATGTCAAAAATGAATTATCAAAAAAAGAGAGAGAAATTTTGCAATGTAGAATTGGAGGAATAATTTCTTAAAATAATAAATTAGTAACTAAAATCATAGTAATGGCAAAACATTAAAAGCCTTGCCATTAAAGTAGAACAAGGTTCAGTAAACCGTGGTCTATGAGTCACATCCAGCTACGTTCATTTTTTTATTTGTTGGTTGTGGATGCTTTTATGCTAAAATGGCAGTGTTGAGTAGTTGTGACAGATGGTCTGGTTCTCAAAGCTAAAAATATTTACAATCTGACTTTTTACAGAAAAAGCTTTTTGACCTCTGATACAGAAGAGAAAAATATCCTCATTCAAAGATATTATCAATCTTATTCTGGAATTTCCATCTAAAATAGTAAGATATGAAATAGAAATGAGGCATTCATTAACAAAGAAATACATACAATTACCGTTATTCAGCACCATTTACTTTTTTTTTTTTAATTTATTTATTATTATTATACTTTAAGTTGTAGGGTACATGTGCATAACGTGCAGGTTTGTTACATATGTATACTTGTGCCATGTTGGTGTGCTGCACCCATCAACTTGTCATTTACATCAGGTATAACTCCCAATGCAATCCCTCCCCCCCGCCTCCCCATGACAGGCCCCTGTGTGTGATGTTCCCCTTCCTGAGTCCAAGTGATCTCATTGTTCAGTTCTCACCTATGAGTGAGAACATGCGGTGTTTGGTTTTCTGTTCTTGTGATAGATTGGTAAGAATGATGGTTTCCAGCTGCATCCATGTCCCTACAAAGGACACAAACTCATCCTTTTTGATGGCTGCATAGTATTCCATGGTGTATATGTGCCACATTTTCTTAATCCAATCTGTCACTGATGGACATTTGGGTTGATTCCAAGTCTTTGCTATTGTGAATAGTGCTGCAATAAACATACGTAGCACCATTTACTTTTGACTTAGGAAACAACAGGCTCAGTTCAAAGCTATTAGAACTATTAAGAAAATTCACCAGGACATCCAGTTGTAGACTAATTAAAAATCCTTATAGTATGGGAACAAACATAAATAAGAAATGGCAATACATGCCTAGCTCTTAGTTTAAACTTTATAAAATATATACAACCTTATTCAGAATAAGAGACATGAGTGAGGAGTCATATCACATTCTTGGACGGGAAGATTCAATATTGTGAAAATGCTAGCTCTTCCAAAATGAATCTTCAGGATTAATACAATTCTAACCAAAATCCTAATGAAATTTGGGGTAGTTTTTGAAAACATCAATTATTTTGCTGTGTATTAGTCAGAATCAACTCGGTTAGGATGCAGTAACAACCCTCTCCTTCTCTGCGCATCTCAATGGCTTAAAATAACAAAACTTTATTTCTGATGCAGTGTTCGTTGCAGGTTGATGTCTTATTGTTTCCTCACTATGAATTCAAACTGGAGTAGCAGCCTCCAGCTCAGATGTTGGCAGGTACTGTAGCAGATAAAAGAGATCTTTAGAAGGTCTCAAATTGATGATTAAGTACTGTGGTCTGGAAATAGCATGTCACTGAGTTCATGAGGCATGGCCAGAACAAGTCATATGGCCCTCTCCAACCGAAGGGATTTGGTTGTGAATCTTATTTCTTTCTCAAAGAGAGGAGAATCAGGTAATCGTGGCGGCAGTGACTCCACCAGTAGAGCAGGTGTGGGGCACAGAAAGGAAGAAGCATTTTCTCGGGCAGATTTAAAGATATATTTTAAATTTTAAGAATTCAAAGTATGGTACTGTTTTATGGATTATTAGACCCATTAATGCAACAAAAGAGAAAGGCCTGAGGCAGAACAACTTAATAAGAATGTAGTATGTGATAAAAGTGCCATTGGTGAATTGATTATATATTACTTCTTACTTATTAATAAATATTACAAAGTATATTAAAGAAAAAGAAACTACTTCATACAATGATTGATTGATGCCATTAATCTATTTGTCCAAACCCATAGAATATACAATACCAAGAGGCAACCATAATATAAATTATGGATTCTGGGTGACAATGATGTATCAACGTTAAGTCCATCAATTGTAATGAAGGTACCACTCTGATGGGGGATGTTGATACTGGGGGAGCTGTGTTGGGGAAGCGAGCATATAGGATATCTCCATACATTCCACTCAGTGTTGCTGTGAACCTGAAACTGCTCGTTAAAAATTGTCTTTATAAAGAGAAATCACAAAAAGAGAATAAAATACGTTGATATTTATCAGTGTTAGGAATATACGTAAAATGAGAAAGGCATACTGAGTATTGCTTAGAAGCTTTACTAAGAAAACTATGTTAGCATTTTTAAAGATAATGGCTTTAGAATCAGCAATTACTTTTATAAGGGGTTATTAGGAAATCATTTTTCCTTAATACAAAAGCTGACATTAATTCAACATTTTAGTAGATACATTAAAACTACCATAAATCTGTTAACAACTTTATAGCTCTTGTTTAAAATTTTTTAGAGAGATATCATAAGGGGCTCCTTTAGAAATTTCATGCATCACTAGTTAGTTTCCATCATAGTCTATGTATGGGCTATTGCTAAACGAAATGGTTGAGAACTGTTGAATCTTTAAATGTTATGTCTGTAATCTCAAAATAGAAATACATGTTTATGAATGTTGAAGTCTCTCTTTTGTAAGGATAGAAGGGAAATTATGTGTTTATATTATGAAAGGGAAGTCGGGAGAGTTGACTTGAATGAATTTACTATCACCCCATCTACAGTTTTCTACTGTGGTCTACTGCATTGAAGCTTTATATGATCTAAAAGAGTATCTGAGAATTGTCTGTTCTCTCTTCCTGTTGCATCTGTTGTACCTGGACAGAGAGGGAAAAATAGAACAACTAATGAACATATAATGAAGGCTCCTCAGATGTCATTGAAGAGAAAGTCTAAATCTTGGGCTTTTTCATCATGGAGCTATTAGGAAGGCAGAAAAATTAAAAATCATAGCAGTTAAATGAGTGAATAATAGCATGGCATTTTCTAAAACCTTTTCTGTTTCTAGCCAGTAAGGTGACAAACCATTTTTCAGGTTTACAGAGAAAATAGACTATCAAAGCAGTTTCCTTTTGCTGAAAATGGACAGTAATAACACCCCTGTGGTAGTGGCTGTGAGACCTTTCTAACCCTGGCAAGATATCAGAAGTCAAAGCAGTTGAGTTAGAACAGCCAAGTGGTGTCCTAATCCCACCACCCGGTTATCAGTGGATCCAGAACAGCCAATGAATGACAAGGAAAGAACAGGTGAGCCAAGTAAAAATTGAAAACGGATGGCATTAACCAGAAAAGATGCCATCTGTCCCTAAGTGTTATGCATATTTACATATCGCTTCAGATTTTTCAAAAACTATTTTTCTGTAGGAATGACAAAACTCCATCTCCATCGTCTTAGAGTCCTAGTTGGGTCAGAGAATTAAATTGACATAAAACAGATTTAACGGGACAAAAGTGTACATATTTATTTAATATGAATTTTGTGTGGCAAGAAAGCGCTCATAAGGAAATGAAAATCTGAAGAAATAGTTCAGTTCGTTACTTATATGTTTAATTGAACAAAGAATAATAAGTTGTGAAGATGTGATAAGGCAAAGGACTCAGATGAGGATATTTAATTGGGCAGAGAAGTGACTAGGAAGATAAGGGTTAGTTCAACAAGGTTAGTTTATACAGAATTCCTTTGGCTTAACTTTTCCGTCCTTGATGGTAAGAATGTTGCTTTCTTTTTTTTAAGTAGGGATAATATCTTTCACCTGAGAATTTCATCTTCTACTTTTAAAAAACAGTATGAATGTCGGAGTGATCTTGCAGCTGATGTTTTTCAAATATCTTTAACTTAAATAATCAACATGCCAGAGTGATATAATTTTAATTCCTTTAGTAATTAATGTTGAATCCATATTTTACACTCATGTTTTGAAACAGAGGTAGTAAATTTTATCTAATTAAACAGCATTTTAATTTAAATATAATATACATACAGAAAAGTATACAAGTTACAAGTGTGCAGCTTGAATTATCACAAAGTAAGCACACCTGATTGATCACCA